GTTTGGGGGCAAAGGGGGATGGTAGGGAAAGCAGTATTTACCATAATTTGGATAATTATCAACACTGACTGCCACAAATTGATTTTCAAATTTTTTTACTAGGCGTATTTAAAATCATAATTGATTGAGGAGCTGTATTGAGGAGCATATATACTATACACCTGCCTGTGTTCAGAGGAGATGCGGACACACCCTACCTCACCTAGAAATGTAAGCCTCATCCATTCAAGTCAATGCATGGCATGTCAGGGTAACAGAAGAGCTATGATGACAAAAAGAGAAGGGAGTGGCAGCAAGCAGCTTCACATCAGTCTGACACACCAGTGACATCGTATATGAAAAACTGCTGAACACAAAGAACATACTGAATCAAAAGGTGAATAATCAATTTGAGAAAATATCTCTACTGTCACTGCTACCGCTCATACTTATTTAATTATTTCACATGGTTTGCAATCCCAGTACTAGGTCTTGATCTACGTCACCAACACCACAACCAAGTCAAATAAGCAACATGATTGTAGTCAGCTTGTCAGGTAACGGCTGGCTTAGTTCGGAAGCTGATATTTTTTTTAAGAGACTTAATAACAGTAGTTGTTGATTTGGGTTTTAAAATGCATGACTCACTCCAAGGTCTCATGTAAAGATGTTGAAACATTATAAGAGATCATGATGTGCTTTAATGTTCTGAATGCATTTTTGTGATCCATAAGAAACAACTGAAAACATAATCATTGAAATGAGCTGCGGCACGCGTACTGATACTGAACCAGGAAAATAGATCATATTTCTCCTGTACTAGTGTCTTTCAGAGGGTACCAAGCAAATCTAAAATGTATAGAGAAGCTGTATAATTCATGAGTGTACAGCATCAGAATGAAGTTATGTAATATGATCTACTTTCCTAAAAGATTCACTACAATACTCTAGACTGCTGATTTCACAAATGACTCCAGCTGACTCCAGGTATTTGATAGTATCAACTTGAACAAGATAATTAGCCTATAAAGTGAAGGGTAAATACACCTAAACTCAGTGTACCATCAGGACAGGAGAGTATGAAGTGAACAGGGTGTTCGGTCTGACATTACTACTTGTGAAATTAGAATTTGAAAGCTGGTGTGATACAAACAAGTGAGTTCATTGAGAATTTCTGAGATCTCGGCTGATTTTTTGCCTACAGGTAGCCTTTTATAAAAAATTTTCCTGTTTGAAGTTTTTTGGAGAGTTTTTTCCATTTGAATAAAAGACAGATTTGAGAATTAACATGACCGTTTCTAAAAGAACAAATCAATGTTACAATAGAAAAAGACAGAAAAGGAAAATGCTTCTGTACTCACCGTAAACAGTAACAGCAAAAAAGCAGGTGAAGAAACCCAAATCATGACTGAAGAAAGGTCCAGATGTCCGTAACCAGTGAAGCGACAGAGTCCTGATTGTGCCAACAGGACTTCCAAGATGAGAGCTAAGGGTGAAGAGGAGGCTTATGAAAGAGGAGGAGTTCTCCTCCACACACACCCTCAGGACAAGGACACACCTCTGTGTGTGTGTGTGTGTCATGTAAAATGTTTTACTGAATGTGTATATACTCACTAGGGCTGTGACATTATGGATTTTTTCTCACCACGGTGAAAAGCAACCAATATCAGCAATTTGGCAGTTAACCCCCCAGAACACCACATGTAAATGAACATGCAAATTAATAAGTAATAAAACACTCCTCTTTTTTATTTTAACAGCATTACTTTATATTTAACTATTAATTGGGCTACAGGTATAATAATAAGCTTTTTCAAAAAGGGTATTTTTTTCTGATTTGGCTTTGGCAAAGTTCAACATAAAATTAAAGCTGCAAGCAGCGTTGGGTGGGCCCTCGAGGTGTGATGCAACCGCATTGCAGATTCTGGAGCTCTGCCGGTGCGGCTGTGAATTTGCCACGCAATTCGGACGCTGCACAAAGGTGTTAATCATCGCTTCCTGGTTCCTCTTTGTGGCGCTACATAGCACTTGGCGCTACTACTATAACTGAATATTGGCATGTAGATGTGTTTGGGGTGTGACCGTTATCAAGTTTGGTGCTGATGTGAGCATGTACACTGAAGTTACAACAACTTCCTCTTTCATGGCGAATCATCGATTTTTGACGCCACACCACGGGCACACTGTTTCACGAAAATTAACTATTTGTACATATTTTAATCGTCAATGGCTTTAGAGTAGACAGCAAAAACGTGAAGTCGGTTGGACTAATTCTCCAGGAGGAGTTTGTGAAAGTACGGACTGTGAAAATCATCCATAAATGACCATAAAATTCAAAATGGTTGACTTCCTGATGGGTTGGTACGTCTGGACATGATACATGTGTCAGAAATTTCGTATATATATATATATATATATATATATATATATATATATATATATATATATATATATATATATATATACATATATATAATATATATATATATATATATATATATATATATATATATATATAGGTGAAACGTGCTGCATGGGCTGCTTCATTAAAGGTCACTTCCTGTTGCCAGGAGGTGGCGCTATGACTATGGGTGAAAATTGGCGTGTACATCTGTTCAGAGCGGACCTCTTGGGGAACCGTTTATGGCCATGCCACGGACACGCCCATCGACAAAAACTCACAGATAGCACAACTTTTCATCGTCAATGACAGTAGATCCATCCATCCATCGTCAACTGCTTATCCTGCATACAGGGTCGCGGGGGGCTGGAGCCAATCCCAGCTGGCATCGAGGGAAAGGCGGGGTACACCCTGGACAGGTCGCCAGTCCATTGCAGGCAATGCCAGTAGAAAAAGTGGAAATTTTAAGTCGATCTGATTAGTTCCCTAGGAGGAGTTTGTTAAAGTACGGACCTTGTAAAAGGACATAAATAGGCTGGAATAGCACATTAAAATCAAAATGGTTGACTTCCTGTCTGATTTCAGGTATGGCTCCAAGAGGCTTTTTTGTTCGTCTTGGGATGATACATGTACCACAAAAGTTTTGTGCATCTTGGTGATTCAGTGGGCAGGGGCTGCATCTTTGAAGGGACACTTCCTGATTCCAGCAGGTGGCACTATGAAGTTGAGTAAATTTTGACCTGTAGATGTGTTCAGGGCATGACCCTTATCAAATGTGTGAAATTTGGTAAAGATATGAGCATGTACAGCAAAGTTACAACAACTTCCTGTGTTATGGCGAAGCATCAAACTTTTACGCCATGCCAAGGACACGCCGTTATCCATAAACATAGCATCATCAATGTCTTAAGGCTCTTCTGAGACTGTTTTGAAGCAGGTGAGGCAAATATGTTGGGAGTAGTACATAACAGCGTAACACTTGACACCAGCAGTAGGTGCTATGACGTAAGTGTGTTTGTTGGCACATGGATGTGTTCAGGGTGGGAATCCTATATGTACAGTTTGGTGAGATGTGAGCATGCACACTGAATTTATAACTACTTCCTCCTTTCACGGCGAATCATTGATTTTGGACGCCACGCCACTGACATACCCATTGACGAAAACTCAGATAGCACAACTTTTCATCTTCAATGCCTTTAGAAGGCACAACAGAAATTTGAAGTCGATCGGACTAAATCCCTAGGAGGAGTTTGTTAAAGTACGGAGCATGTATATCATCCAAAAATGACCATAATAATGTATAATGTAATATATAATATAATAATGTAATATAGCAAAGTCAATAAATTTATATTCTTGGGGTTTCAGATTGAGGTCTGTTGGATGCAGGTGCAGCAACATCATCTTGGAGTTAAGTGGCATCTTCGCAGACAGGATGAACATGGTTTTATTGATCACCTCCCTCCAGAATTTTAAATTAATAATTTGTCACACTCCCAGACAGTGCATGAATATTCCTTGAGCCTCATTGTATTTAAAACAGACGTCAGGTATATTACTGTAGTATTTATTTTAATTTGACAGGAGTTATGTATGTCTGCATCGGCCAATTGCATAGGAGTAGCTTTAGAAGAAGTTAGAATTTGCGGTTTCTTATTTGCGGTTTCTGCTCTCCATGTCTCAAGTTTGGTTATCAATGCTTCTCTAGAGCCAGATGCAAGCCAGTTATATTCTGATTAAATCAAACTCCTCTCATTGCAATTGTTTGTGACCATTTCAGTTACCATTTCAGCAACACTTTCTATGAAGGTCATCGATTCATTTGTCATTTAACTGCAAGCTATATTTCAGAGCGTTTTTTTTTTACATTTTTTGCTTAAAAAAAGATACACATTGGTGTAAAATGGTATTTCTATCAGTTATAAAACATTAAATCAAAAGGTCATAATACATTATGAACTTTGCTATAGCGCCTAATGCATGTTTGTAAGTGATTATAACAATTGTTATAATGTCTTATGGAAGCATTATATTGTGTTATAATTGTACACATAAGTCATTATAGCAATGACCAAAGAAAGTGTTACCATCATTCCTTTTAAGGATGCAGGAAGTCCCTCTTGCCTAGGGGCGTGGGTGATGGGGATGAATGCTGGGGCCAGTCAGGAACCTGGCCCCAGTGAGGAGGACCATTCTAGCGTCCCTATGACCTCCTTCACCTTCCCCCCTTTGGTCATGTCTCACTACATACAACCTTAGGACTCTGGGGGGCAGGCAGGCAGCAGGGAGTTTGGTGGGTGGGGCTGCTTTATTGCGGCCTCACCCTTCTTCCTCCCCCACTGGCCGCTCTTCAATTTTAATTACATATTAGACACAGATGGCTTGGGGGTTAGGAGTGGCATGTTGGCCGGCTCCACTACCTGACAGTTATGGGGTGCCTGTGTCACAACAACAGTTTTAACTGCTCCTTAGTTACCACGCAGCTTATCTTTACTTCACCATACAACACTTCACAAACCATGACATGCATCCAACACAATCATCACAATCACAATCATTGGCCTCGTGTCCTGCCCCTGGAGCCCCGGGGGTGCCGTAGGGTTGGTGTCCGCCTTGCCTGGGTGCATGGCTCCCCTGATGTGGGGGTCCGCTCTGGACCCTGGTCTGGGGCAGGTGGCGTGTCCCTGGGCCTGGGGGCCCATTGGCTCCTCTCCTCGCCAGAGCCCCCTTGGGCAGGGGTGGGACTCTCGCTGCTTCCCCCTGCCGGCTCTCTCACAGTGGGGGCATTCGGTAGTCCTGGGCTGGTGTTATCGGGGTGGGTTTTGGCACTCTTTTTTGGGGGTGGCTACCTGGGGGGGCTGGGCTGGCTCTGCCTGCACTCGTCGGGGATTGCCCCCAGCTGGGCTCGGGACTGTCGGCCCTGGTTCAGCCGCGTTATTGCTCCCTGGCGGCAGGGAGCTCCCCAGCATGGCTCTGGTGGTGTGGAGTCCTTTGCGCTTTGGGGGGTCGCGGGGAGCCCTGGCTGCTGGGGGTGGGGGGATCCATTTGTGGTTCAGAGGGCTCCGATGGTATTGTACCATGCGATTTTCAATGCATCTTAACGCAATGGGGTTTTTTTCTGTGCAGGGTCTTTGGATAGCTGCTGGATGTTTAGTTTGTGCATTGGAGTCCAGGGGAGGCATTTCCTGGTTGGCCCTCATTGCTAGTTTGGCTGGCATTGCATGGGGGATGTTGGCTGGCGCCTTCAATTTTCCAGCAGATTTTTATCAGTGGGTTCACAGTATCCAGCTCCTCATACTCTATACCAGGTTGCCAGGCAGGTTTAATTAAAAAAAGAAAAAATACGATCTAGGAAATTCTGACTGCATAAAAGTAGTATCTCACTCAGGTACAAAAATACAGTGATATCCATCCATAACGGATTGTCTCCAGAAGAAAAATAGAACATTGTAGTTCTTAACTGGCATTTAAGTATTCAATTCAATTTTCAATAAAATTTTATTTATATAGCACCAAATCACAACAACATTTATCTCACAGCGTAGTACCAATAAAGATTTAATAGGTTATTTGATAGGCGAGCTCTTACTCCATTTTAATTTCCTGAAGAGCGATGTCATTTTTTAAAACATTGGTGGTGTGAGAGGGATATTTTGAAATAAATTTAGGTAATATGTTCATCTTTTATATATTTATTCTCCTTATCAGAAATACAGGTAAGGACATCCATCTTTCTATAGATTTATATGCTGAGTCCATTATGATTTCATAATTTGTTGATGCTATATTTTCTAACAGGTGTTATTTTGATGCCTAAATATGTAAAATTAGATGAAAGCCTGAGCATTAATAAATGTTGGTTTATATCTTTTCTTTCATTTTTGTTAAGCAACATTAGTGATGATTTTGAAGCATTTAATTTATATCCAGAGATGTTACCAAACATGCTGATTAAATCTAGCAGCGCTGATATGAAGGCGCAAAATTGATTTGAGAATAAAATTAAATCGTCAGCAAAAAGTGCTATTCTGTGATCTCTGTTGCCAATTGTAATCCCCTGCATCTGCCTACTAGGTCTGATTGCTATTGCTAGTGGTTCAATAGCTAGTATGAAAAGATGTGGTGACAGAGGCGGACCTTGGGGGTTCAGATACCACCTAATTCGTCAGTACCTCAGCTATGGGATTGAGATGTAATAATATTAATAATAATCCAGTTAAGGAAAGTATTACCAAAGGCAGAGAGATGACCATTACTGTAGGACTCTAGATATATAGCTTAAAGAGGGGTTACCAACTTATCTTTAAAAAAACTGCTGCTTTTCCAGCCTTTAGCGCACCTAAAGATATTTGGGGGATATTGAGTATACTAAGAATTCAGTCCAGACTTCCACATTAGCAGTGTTTTCTGATTTGTAGAGGTTTTCATAAAACATTTTAAAAGCTGTATTAATTCCCTGTGTATTGAAAATAGTGTTCCCATTGGCATCTTTAATGTATGGAACACGTTCAGCTGGGAGAGCTTGTCCTGCAGCAGGGCCAGGATGATGGTGTTCAAAAGCAGAGCTGAAATCCATCATCAGGATCCTGCAGGGGCACCGTATAGGGTGGAAAATTCCAAAGGCCCCTGACTGACAGGGGTACCCAAAAATAGATAAAAAATAATATCAAATTATATTTATATAAACCATCATCATCATTCAGTGTTTTAAATATAATAATACAATTAATGATCTCTTTGTTGGCAATGGAAGTTAAATATCCTCATTGACCAAAAAGTAAACATCCATATTAGCTGACCAACCCCCTGTATCTGCATGAAATGATTTGGTCCTGCCTTAGCACACTGTATCAGTGACGGTGTTTAGCTGCAGTCAGTAGATGCACCAGAAACACAGTGAACACGAGGTTGCCAAGTAAACCGAAGTCTGGTTTTCAAAAAAGGAAAGAGAGAAAAGAGAGAGGAAAGACAATGGAAAGGATGTTAATCTGTAACCCAGTTTTTCACCAAGAAAGGAGGGCGGCCTTTAATCTGAGTGGTGTTAACCTGTTGGCTTCATGTCCACAGTTAAATAAGCTAGCTAGCTACAGACTAGTGTTAGCCTACATTTCATCAACATTTAATCAGTGCAGGGAAACGTTTAGCAAGATATTCATTTTAAGTCACTGTCTCTGCCCCTTTTAGCAGACTAACAACAGATGAGTCAGCAGCACACCAATCTCCCTATAACTGTAGCCAACCTGTCCCAAAACTCAGGAAAATATACTGAGACCCCCCCCCCAACCACCACCACACTGATCAAACTGTCGGCGGCTCTATTATAACATGGATGGTAAAGCAGGACCCATGACAATAAGTCATTTGGTGGATGTGTTGCAGTGGGAATCAAAGAAAAGTGTCTAATCCACTGCGCCATTGCAACCTCTCTGTAATAATTATTATTTTGTATTCTTTTTTACCAAACTTCAATAGCTAAATGTGCAACATGGAATAATTGAGTCTATCTAAATTGTGTCTAAACTAAAATAACTACTAACTTTCAAATTAGTTAAGTAGAAGTTAATAGGTTATTTTTTATAATAAGAGACAGCAGCAAAGGTTGTCGCCTGTTGAAGACCTGGTGGCCTAACTGTTAAAGAAACAGTTATATTATTCAGGAAAGTCAGATCAAAAAGCTCTCTGTCTATTGATAAACTGTAGGAAAGTTTGACATTTCAGCTCTGGCAGCGGGCGGACTTATGCGTGAAACGAGAACGGCCGCAACAGTTACACAGAAGCCGTTGCCATGGTTACATTGTGGAGCGCTTGTTTGCCTGTTGATAAGGAGAGAAGAGCGACCCCGCGGATCCAAGCCATATGAAAAGGCCTTATATAAACCCTGTCACAACCATTCACAAGAAATTAATTTATAACATGCCAAAACCTTTAACATAAGGACGACTTAAAAAGCAACCATTCATACAGTAAAGTGTATATATATATATATAGGCTACATGAGTGATCAATCGACTACAAAGTCAAACTAAACATTAGATGGCCCATAACAAGCAATAATTAAAACAGCAACGTGGCGTTGGTGGATGGAGCGAGACATGATGTCCCAGATGTGCTCAATTGGATTCAGGTCTGGGGAAAGGGCGGGCCAGTCCATAGCATCAATGCCTTCCTCTTGCAGGAACTGTTGACACACTCCAGCCACATGAGGTCTAGCATTGTCTTGCATTAGGAGGAACCCAGGGCCAACTGCACAAGCATATGGTCTCAAGGGGTCTGAGGATCTCATCTTGGTACCTAATGGCAGTCAGGCTACCTCTGGCGAGCACATGGAGGGCTGTGCGTCCCCCCAAAGAAATGCCACCCCACACCATTTCTGACCCACCGCCAAACCGGTCACGCTGGAGGATGTTTCAGGCAGCAGAACATTCTCCCCGGCGTCTCCAGACTCTGACGTCTGTCACATGTGCTCAGTGTGAACCTGCTTTCATCTGTGAAGAGCACAGGGCGCCAGTGGCGAATTTGCCAATCTTGGTGTTCTCTGGCAAATGCCAAACGTCCTGCACGTTGTTGGGCTGTAAGCACAACCCCCACCTGTGGACGTCTGGCCCTCGTACCACTCTCATGGAGTCTCTTTCTGACCGTTTGAGCAGACACATGCACATTTGTGGCCTGCTGGAGGTCATTTTGCAGGGCTCTGGCAGTGCTCCTCCTGCTCCTCCTTGCACAAAGGCGGAGGTAGCGGTCCTGCTGCTGGGTTGTTGCCCTCCTATGGCCTCCTCCACGTCTCCTGATGTACTGGCCTGTCTCCTGGTAGCGCCTCCATGCTCTGGACACTACGCTGACAGACACAGCAAACCTTCTTGCCAAAGTTTGTATGATGTTCCATCCTGGATGAGCTGCACTACCTGAGCCACTTGTGTGGGTTGCAGACTCCGTCTCATGCTACCACTAGAGTGAAAGCACCACCAGCATTCAAAAGTGACCAAAACATCAGCCAGGAAGCATAGGAACTGAGAAGTGGTCTGTGGTCACCACCTGCAGAACCACTCCTTTATTGGGGGTGTCTTGCTAATTGCCTATAATTTCCACCTGTTGTCTATTCCATTTGCACAACAGCATGTGAAGTTGATTGACAATCAGTGTTGCTTCCTAAGTGGACAGGTTGATTTCACAGGAGTGTGATTGACTTGGAGTTACATTGTGTTCAAGTGTTCCCTTTATTTTTCTGAGCAGTGTATTAGGTATGAATATTCAAAATCTTAACTTTGCACAAAGTAGAGGAGACAATAATGTGTCTTTTGATACTTCAACTGAACTGTTATGTTAAGTTAACCTTGAGATTTAGCCAAAATTAGCACACATGTCAGTTTGGGGTAAGTTGTCTCAATGATTTGGGGTCTAAATCCAGTACAAATAAACACACAGAACATCAAAAAACTATGTGAAATTGTGCAATTACCCCTGACATCAGTATTCAATGATACTGTTAATAGAATATTATACACTGTAATTTACAGCAGCAGCCATATGCCTGGGTAAGACAGAATTCATGACAGGGTATTTACAGTCGTATACCGTAGGCATGTAGTGTGTTAGTGGACACGCACACACACTTATTAATTTCGTTAATAGGTAGGGAATAAGGCTAGTTGACAAATACACTTGTAATTTATTTGTAATTGCATGGAGGAATGTGTTTTTGAAGGAAGGAAGGAAATTATCAACAGAAGACAGAAAATGGCAATACACCACCTGACATAATGTTAAAGGCAGTAAGGCAGGTGAAGTTGAACAAATCAATCAGAAGTACAGCTAAGGATTTTGACATAAGCGGCTGACTTCTCTTTTGGCCTCATCTATGTGAAGCCATTTTCATACAGTATTCCAAAGAAGAAGTGGTTTGTGTGTGAAATGCAATAAATGGGCCTACGATGTTTTCACTTCAGGCCAGTCAATTTCTGTGTGCCAGAACTGTGACTCTAAACACATGTCTGATTAGTCAGATACATATATACGTAGTACAGAAATGCAAAATTAGTTGCATTAGTGTGTTTAAACACCACATCTGTTTAGTTAAGAAGTT